CTACACATCCAAGCTTATAGCACCTGGTATTCCTAAGCAGTCACCCATCACCCAGGTTAGTCGTTGCTCAACTTCGGTGATTGTACAGTAACCAGTGTATTCATAGATAGATAGATAGATAGATAGATAGATATTAAGACAATGAAAACAACGCAAGAAAAAACTGCGACTGAGAAATTGATATGTACATACAAAAGGGCTTAGATAGATAGATAGATAGATAGATAGATAGATAGATAGATAGATAGATATGAACATACTGAGATTGATAGATATGAAAATACTGAGATAGATATGAAAATAATGTGATAGATAGATAGATAGTATATAGGTTAAAAACAATTAAAACTGTTTTTAAAAACTGTTAGCCGATGCGTTTCGTCCCATGTGGACTTTTTCAAGGCAAAAACGAAATGAATTTTATTAAAAACAAAGTAACTATTAACAACAAAACAAAATGTCCTTAGCAACTAGAATAAATAGATAGATAGATAAGTAAAATTTGGTACAATAATAATGGTATAAGAATTGGTACTGATATATATTCATATCTATCTATCTATCTATCTATCTATCTATCTATCTATCTATATATATATAGAGAGAGATAGATAGATAGATAGATAGATAGATAGATAGATAGATAGATAGATAAGTAGAGTTGGTACAAGTTCCGAAAGACATTGAGTAGAAAAAAAAGAAACGCAAAATCTGGGATATATTTATGAAGTGAATGAAACGCAAGATGGCGGTGTTAATGCATCCGATCTGACTATCTGCTCACTGATGCAAAGAGATTAAAAATATCAGCTTTAATCAAATAACTTCATTCAGAGCCATCATGATTTGAAAAAAAAAGTTTTATATTAATGTGAAAATCTTATTCTTGGCTGAGATGTTAATTATAGATTTGTGCTGGAACGAATCACTATGAGCCGATATGGCTTGTTAAATATTCTGTGTTTACCAGACAGGCAAACGAATGCGTGTCAAAGGTAAATCAGGAAAGTAATTTTTGGAAATGGTACCCGGTGGAAGCATCTAGAACACCGGCCAGTAGATCACTTGATGCACGAGACGCAAAAACACGTGTTCAGAACGATCTGGGGTCGGCTCGTGGGTTCCAGAATTTTCGACCTGCTGTGTCACGTGGTGTCGCTTTTGTTTGCAAATTGAAATGGTTACGTTCCAGGCATATGCATCTTTATAAAGTACACGATATGTAATACTGTTTCGGTTGGATGTGTTAAGTTTTAATATTGCGAATGAAGAGATTTTACAGCTTTTGTTTTTATTACCAAAGCAGCACCAAAATAGCAATACTAAAGACTCCTGAATGACAAGAATTTGAAAGAAATGCACATGCAAAGCGCTAAAAGCAAATACAATGAACAAAAGAGAATGGAAATCCAAAGTTGGACACATTAAGAGAAACTTTAGAGACAGCACCAAACGAGATCATCTCAAGGAAAGCTAGACAAAGGAAAAAGGAGTAGGTAACAGATGAAATCTCTACATGTTGAAAAAGAGACAACAAACAACATCAAGTTAAGGTACAGAACATAGGGCATTATACAATGCAATTAAAAACAAGCAAAAGAGGAATGAAAAGTGTGCAGATAACGAAAGATTGAGCATCATCGATGAAGCAGATATGCTTAGAAGAATAAGAGTAACAGGACAAAAGGTATGCTCATCGTCAGGATGCATAAAATTAGAAAACGTGAACGCTGATATCAGAAAAATAACAAATACTTCAAAGATGGAACGAATGCGTTGGGATACATTGATGAAAGAGAGAAACCTGTAATACACCGATATATGAAAGTACCAAAAATATTAAAGTCTGAAGTATGATAAGTGCTGGCCAAGATGAACGAGGACAAAGCAACAGGCCCAAATGGGATTGTAATAGAGAATATGGCCGACTTAAACAGTTTCGGCATTGACAAAATTACATAAATAGTAAAATGAAATATACAACAGTTGTGATTTATCGGAAGACCTTAGTAGATTCATTTTCATAGCGCTGCCAAAAAAAAAGAAAAAGAAAAAAGTCCCGGTGCAAATGAATGCGAGCTCCATTGAACAATCATCCTAATGAGTCACATAACGAAACTTATCATCCGAATTCTGATGAATAGAGCGAGACTTAGTAAAGAAACAGCACAGGATATGAACCAAGAATTGAAAACATCGAAATCAAGTAAGAACAAAAATTTAAATCTCTAGGAAGCGTTTTAATGGACATAAGAAAATGTGACGCCAAAATCCGAAGGCGCATTGGAATAACGAAAGATGTCTTCTAAAAGCTAAGCAAAGTATTAGAAAAGGAAAATTTCGTTAGAAACAAAGTAAACTGTGCTGAATTATTATGTAATTTCAATCATCCTGTATAGTAGTTAATGTTGGACCTTCTCCTCACAGATGAAGAAGTGTCTTGAGGCAACAGAAACGTAGTTCTACAGAAGGATGCTGAGAATACAAGGTGAGTTACGAGGAAGTTTTAAGAAAAATAGAAATGAAAATGACATACGTACTTGGAATAAGAAATATACAGTTGAAAATTATAGACGAGACTGTGTAGAAAGCAGGCTTGGAGAATTGGACACTCACAGGACATGTTGAAGCCAAGAGAGACAGAGGAAAATAGTGATTGATTGTTGGTTGATTTTGTTCAGCGGGATATCAACACTTCTATAGGTTATCTAATTGTTAAATGTAAATATTTTGTACTCATTTTTAAAAAAAATAATAATGTTTTAGTGATACAAGTCTTACTATTTAACCTATAGCGGGGGATAAAAGGTCAATTCATACCTTTCCCAAGGATATATGAGCGTAAGTGACTATAACTGTTGTGGATTCCGGGATGAAATCTGATCTCAAATGAATGACAAACGCAGGAATGAAATATAGCAAATAAATGTATTGACGTAATAATACAATTGGTAATACGGTTAGTAGATTCAGAAATGCGGTTAGTAGCAATAATAATATATATATACAGTCTGGGAAATTTTAGTATCGAAGTATGACTTCCTTCTGAGTCTACGTACTCGCAACTGTGACTCCTACAAAGTGGTTACCTCAAACTCTCACTCTATCACTTCTCTCACTGTATCACTGTCACTGTCACTGTCACTCCCGGGTATTCACCTGCAGCAGTACAAGTACACACTGGGCGAGTCCAGTTGTATGAAAAAGGGGTGGACCCCTTAACAATAACCAACCCAACTTTCAGCCCTCTGATTAACTATTCTGCGTCATAATCTATTACACCACCCGAATGTCAATGCTTACAGCACCTGGTATTCCTAAGCGCTCACCTATCTAGGTACTATTCAGGCTCGACGGCGAATCACTGAGTAATCTACCTAATTAGTACGTAAGTGGATAACAGAAGAGGGGGGGATAACGAGAAGATAAGCTTTATTAAGAGCTACAAAGGATTGGAAGTTGTGGAGAACCATGATCGCCTACGACCTGAAGTGGCAGGCCACGTAGAAGAAGAAAAGTGTTAATACAATGTTTACAAAGGATTGTTTATCAACTTTTCTCAAATTAATTCTAATGTAAATATCAAGATTTTACCCGCAAAAGGATTGGTTATCTATTTCGGTGAACAACATCAATAATCTTGGTCTTAGTGAATGCATAATCTTAACAACTAAAGCATGTCGGTGACGCAGTAAACCAGGAAGGTGAACGAAATGTGTCTTCTTACAACATGACAATGTAAAAGCCTTACTCACCAAAACAAGCCCAAGAAAAGATAAAATCAATGGTAATGGTAATAAAGGATGTTTTATTAAGACGGATTATACATAAAGGTGTTTCATTAAGACGGATCAAAGTCAGCAATAAATTAATCAGTGTTATTGGTGAAAATGTATTTATTTCTCTATTGGATTGTTATTTAAGTGATGGCAATAATGTGTGAAAAATAATATCACCCAAATGTCCACCAAATCTGAAATAAAAAGAAAAAAAATCATTAGACTCTTAAACTTAATTAACATTTAAAATCGGTTCAAGTTATTGGAACATCCTTTATTAGCCATTTCTCTACAAGGAAAACACCTGGCATTCATTGATCGAGCAGCCAATATTCATGTTGGTTGATATCTATAAAATCTTTCTTTTAAAACTTTTTTTCCAGTATTGATGGGAGTTTCTTTTTTAACCTTTTATTTGAAGTAGTGCGGAATATCAGCGTCTTGATTATGTTATTTTCTCTTTGAGTGACACGTATCATCCATTTTAGTTGTTGTTAGTCCTCATGTGATGTGGTTTCCCTTAGTTCGTACAGTTCTTTGCTTATGGATCTGTTGCGTCAGTTCACCATTTTTCAAAGGAGGGTGACTTTTGCCAAGGCTTCATTCGCTCAAAGCTTTTTTTTTTTCACCATTGATCTTAGAAAGCGGTTGTCTACAGCTGACAGTTTGGATATTTCTTAACGTGTTTGGCGCCGGGCGTGACGTCCATATGAAAATCAATCTGATACGGCTATTTAAGACTATAACTCGAGTATTCAGGTTGATGCTTTCGTTTAGTAGGAAGTTGGGGTGTTGGGCGGAACTACCTTTGGCACAGCTTATTCTATGTTCAATTTCTTTTTCTTCTATATTAAAGCCATACGCTGGGGTATTTGAAATTTTAGTATTTACTAATTTCACATCCCGATTTTTTTTAATGATGGATTCAGTAGGTATTTCTTTTTTTTCTGATTTCCTTCAAATTCCAGATCATAGTATTTTTTTTAGTCGTTTTAGACTGGGAAGTTTATTTTATTCGCCATATACACCAAAAGTCGCATCTTTACATATTTTGTTGAACGAAACGAGAAATTTCCAACCTTGGTGAACAGAGACAGTACCACCCAACAGCAGGACAATGGAAAACCTTAAGAAACAAACACAAATCATTAGATAGGGAAATTTTATTTGTCCACCATTTTTAACAATCCTAAAATTTATTCATTCAGAAACAAGCTGGCTTACGGCTACATCACTTTGAAACATCCGTTCCCGTACGATCAACGAAGTTAAGCAACATAGAGGCTGGTCAGTACCTAGATAGGTGACCGTTTGGGAATACCAGTTACTGTAATCTTGGTCATGCGGGTTGTGTAACTGATAATGGCTCGGAATTATTAATCGGAGAACCGAGTTCAAATTCCTGTTAGGTTCGTTATATTCACATGCAAATAAATATCCTTGGCGACAGGTATGAATAAAACTCTTCTTCCCCCAGCTAAGGGTTAATTAGTAAAATTTATATCGCTGAATCATGCCAGTGGATACTGCACAATTTCCTCACAGATGAAGAATTGACTTGAGGTAGCAGAAATGTTATTCTACAGAAAGATGCTGAGAATAACATGGACCGAACATGTAAGCAAATACGAAGTTTTAGAGAGAATGGCAACAAAAAAGACACTTATACTTAGCATCAGTAAGCGACAGTTGAAATTTCTAGGGCACATAATGAGGAAAGACGGCTTTAGGATTTATTATTGACGTCCACAATCTTAATAACATTAGATATATCACGTCAATAATAAAAATAAGTACTGGAAGATATATAGCTAGACATAGGCAGTGGAACAAAAACACTGTATCCACATAGATTAAATAAAGTTCTCTGTGCCAATGTCTCCAAAACTGAATTGATAGGTCTCACACAGCAAGGCTCAATGCAAACTGTCTCAAGCGAATCAATAATATTTGTCAATAAAATCTACCTTAGAAGTGAGATAAATTAGGCTGAAAAGGGTGTGGAAATTCATATAGATAAACTGTCGTGAATAAAAATGGATGTAATCTGGAAATCTGATCTATCGGACAACCTTAAGCGGAGATTCTTTCGAGTCACTGTAGAGATGGTGTGTAGAGGTATGGTAACACTGCCTGGACGTTAACTAAAACACTACAGTCTAATCTTGATGGAACCTACACCCGAATGCTGAGAGCTATACTTAGCATCTCCTGGGTACAGCATCGAACTAAATCACAGCTCTAAGGACCCATCCCTGATATTTCTACAATCTTACGCGAACGCAGAATGCGCTTTGCGGGACACTGCTGGCGAAAGCAACTACTTGAGAACAATTAACGTTATATTGTGCTGGAAATAATCAACCTATCAAGAGCTATCACTTCTGCTATAGTCAACTATCTAAAATGTACTCCATTGACTATGTCGTGGCATTGATGTATGTTTCCCATATAAGTTAATCGAATAAAACGTGCGACAACATAGCAACCTATAAGGTTTGCTACTTAAATATTTATGTTTTTTTTACATTGATTTTCATTCTGTACGAGCCCTGAGAGCCAATCGAGGTAGAAGGTTACCAAGTAAGAGGCACAAATTATGCGGATATGTGGCGAAGCAAAATGTTAACCACAGATTTGAACATGTTAAGATTGTAGTAATTGATGAAGCATCCTCTTGGGAGTCGGTTCCACAAAGCAGCGATTCGTGGGAAGAAGCTGCACGAGTGGAACTTACATGTCACCAATGGAATACGAAGGGGATGAGGGTCGTTCGCTACAATGTGCGTAGGAGTGCTGATCTTGGCTGTGAAGGTTAGAATTGGTGGAACTAAGGAATGTAATTATTCCGAGCACTTTCCATAGAAATAGCGATAGATCAACAAGAGTCTTACGATATATCATCTGTGAGGGAAAGGTTGTACGGTGGAAAATAATTTGTCATACACAAGGATCCTGAGACGCTTTTGGACTCTATCGAGATTGAAAATGGAAGATTCTGCACCTCCTGCCCATATATGACAGCAGTACTTCATGATAGAATCATCGATAAAGGCTCGGATTGAGAATCGGAAAACTGAGTACGAATTCCAGTAAATCCATTACATTAACTTACGTGCTTATACACTTGGGAAAGGAAAGGAATCTTCTCCCCCCCCAGCTATGGGTAAATAACAGGACAGACCATGTTCTATACCCTTGGATGGCAACTGGTCTACCGCAGAAAGAAATGGCAACCTACTACGGGAAAAAATCTGCCTCGTCAGTTATGTATCGAAAGATACATGATCGCCTAAGCGTGTATCATGCATGGCACATAATTGACTGACTGACTTTCCAGTCGAATCTATTACATTCACTTACGTGCTAATACCCTTGGGAAAGGTATGAATCTTCTCGCCCCAGCTATGGGTAAATAGCAGGACGGACCGTGTTCTATAGCCTTGGATGGCAACTGGTCTACCGCAGAAAGAAATGGCAACCTACTACGGGAAAAAAATCTGCCTCGTCAGTCATGCATCGAAAGATACATGATCGCCTAAGCGTGTATCATGCATGGCACATAATTGACTGACTGACTTTCCAGTCGAATCTATTACATTCACTTACGTGCTAATACCCTTGGGAAAGGTATGAATCTTCTCGCCCCAGCTATGGGTAAATAGCAGGACGGACCGTGTTCTATAGCCTTGGATGGCAACTGGTCTACCGCAGAAAGAAATGGCAACCTACTACGGGAAAAAAATCTTCCTCGTCAGTCATGCATCGAAAGATACATGATCGCCTAAGCGTGTATCACGCATGGCACATAATTGACTTCATTATCGGCATGATCTGTCTCTTGTAAAAGTAGAGTCCAGCAGGAGGAGTCAGGTACTTTTTGCTTAAATCATTTCACCCAAACGAAGGCAGTAAAGTCACTAGTACGCAAGGGGTTACAGGGAGTGAAATTGAAAGAGAAGACTGAAAAAGAAGACTGAAAAAGATTGAGAAAAGGACAAGAGATGAACGGGGTTTAAGAAGACAGAGTATGGCGATTGACGTTGCATTAAAAATTTTGGAGATTGTAGTTATCAGGGAAGCAAGGAAACGAAACAGTGTTCCGAAGTGCGAGAAAAAAAAAACTGTTAGAGTAGAAGTGACGGTTGCATCTCGCTATTTCAACAGTAAAAGGGTGGGACCTAGATGCCAATCTAGTAGCATGCTTAAATTCACGTATTTGGGACAGCAGAGAAAAACAGCTCGTCAAAGCAGTTACCATTAAGATATCTGTAGAAAAACAGAGGGAAACAATGTCATGTATGTGAGAAAGTAACTGAAGTCGAGAAGCCTGGTCAGAATCGATTATATTACAGATCCTTCTTTGGATTTTGTCAAGAATCACGAGATTTACAGCAGCAGCGCCACCACCAAACCAGATATGGTAACAGTATTCAATGCACAGACGAATGCTAGATTTGTAAATGTACAATATAGATTCTAACGAGAAAAATATTTCTGGCACAACGCAGTCTGTTCCCCAAAGTATCAGGTATCGGAAAAAAAGCTGTCTTACATTTGATATACAGAGAAATGAGTATGAGTTTAAGTAGCTTCGATTTTCCCAGCTGTAAAAGTCTGGTTCATACTCCTTCTCGGTATTTTGAAAGGGAGTAGAGGTTTATCCCTTATTTACTGCTTAGGATTGGGTTTCTGTTTCCTTTTAAAATCTGCTTCAGCTCTGCACTCCTAACATCTACTCCTGAACTCTTTATTCACTAGCGATTTGTTTCACATTATTTTTTTCTCACCTCCACAAATAGCAATAGATAGGTTCGCCTATCGTCCTGTTCTCACTCCTCTTCGGTCTTTTGAACAGGATTAGAAGTTCATCCCTTGTTTTCCTGTTTACGATTGGGTTTACGGTTCATTCTAAAGCCGTCTCATTCTCTTTCACTCTCAGTAGTCTCCTTGCGTCTGAGTGGCATTATCACCTTGCTCAGGTTGAATTAATTAAAAAGATATATGTAGGGAATATTTACTCACCTTGATAATTACCAGATAAGTCTGATTTGTTAATCTGATATCTAACAGTAATTTTGACATTAGGGTGACTAACATCGAAACTGCGACAATGAAGGATGAACTATTTTTTTTTATATATAAACCAATGTTCACTCAATAAATGGACCAAATCCACTCACGGTAGAGTATTACTGTGTGTAATACGAGATAGTAAGAAGTGAAGTGTGTAAGGATAAGGAGAATAGATAATGATATATCCTTGACTTGAAAAGATTAAGATTGTAGCGTTCAGGGAAGCATCAATGCCGCAATCTGTTCTTCAAGGCAACAGGTCGGACCTAAAGTTGCATTACGTTCGATATATGAGCGTAAGAAAGGGCAAGAAGTGAAGTTTATGTGGTTATACAGGAAAGAAAACAGTTAATCCTGAACTTGAAAAAATAAGGATTGTAATGATTGGAAAAACATCTTGCCGGTTGTCTGTTTTAAAACAAAAGCTAAGTGGAACTTGGTTTTTAATAATAAAATACAAAAGGAATTGGGATAATTCATACTTGTAAAGGTGTCATGGCGGGTCTCAGCTGTAAAAGTGACGTCTTCTGGGACTAAGGAATGTAGCTAGTTAGAACTCATGCCATGGAAATAGCGATAAAGCAGCAGGAGGCTCGCAAAGTCTCATCTGTGAAAAAGAGGTTGTATTGCGCGATTGCACTGAAAAGAAATTTTGCCTATTCAATAAGGAGTCGTATTTGTTAGGTAACTGTGAAAAGAGTCTCATCAAAAGAAAACATTAATGGTTGGTCAGGTCCAAATATTAGCTTGTTGTTACACTGATACGCACTATTTATGTCTTTGTAAGGAAATGGACTATTTAAGGTTCAGATGTGTAAGTTGCATAATAGTATTGAGTTCATGTAACCATTTGATGAGTAATGCAGAACATTCAAAACAATTAAATAAAAGAAATGTAATTTACAGAATCAGCAGAAAAGTTTTGAAAAACCTCAGATAACCACTTATAGTGCCGTGTATACATACATACATACATATATATATATATATATATATATATATATATATATATATATATATATATATATATATATATGTGGGGGGAGGTGTATGTGTATGCGCCTAAAACGTTATACTTAAAGATTAAAAATAAAAAATATATATTTATTGACGCTTTCATGTTATATTGTATTCTAAGTTTACAGATTAAATTTAGTATTTCCAATAAGCAAAATACTTTGCTCCATTTCAAACTTAATTTACATCGATTAGAATGATTTTTTTTATGATTATCACGTTTTCTTGAGTGTGCAGGCCG